CCGGCTGGAAATTCCCATCTTCCCGCAACCTCATGATGTCCCGCAGCCTCATTGATGTCATCTTGCCACAACCTCAGCTTGTGTCTTCCCATCTCACGTGGCAAAAGATGGACTTGACCCAAGCCCACCGTTGTGGGATGGCAGACATCTTTGCACCGTGAGATTCGGCGAGCGTATTAATCAAGAGTATTTTGCGTGATGTCAAGGAGGGGGACGATCTGCTTGCGATTTTTGCGCCGACCGCCAGACAAACAGCACGAGTCTGGAGTCGCGTCGGGCGGAACAGTCGTGGCGTGTGAGGTCCGCGTTTCACGTCTACCAAGCGTGGACCCGTCAAGTGTGTCCTGCAGGTGCAAAGACGGTACCACGTGGGTTCTGCTTCTAATTGCGAGTTCATCTCCATTGGCAAGCTTGTGATCAACGTCGATGCTGAAACCTTTGGGAGCACAGGGGCGAGCGACGTGTCCGAGTCCACGCAACAAGGCGAAAGCCGTATTGAGCAAGAGCTGCATGAAGACGAACCGGACACATCTGTAGCCAATGATGACGATCATGGACCTCACGAGTACCAGCCATCTGATGCTGGCACCGTTGTTGAGGAAGAGGAGACTGGATATTTTGAGTAGAACATTGAGGGCTTTGCGGACGCTGCGTGCCACTTGCAGTCAAAGCAGCGTATGTTTCTGGATTCATTGGATCGGCGCTCAACAAGATCTAAATAGTATTAGAGGGGCTCCAACAAGCAGTCTGGTGCGCGAAGGGAAGTTATTGTTTGAGAACCAAGACGAGAAAGATGAAGAAGCAGTGTGTCGCTGTTTGAGAATGAAAGGCCTATTTTGCTTGTATCGGATTTGGACCGCCTGTAACATCCTGGGGGTGAAGCAGGAGCAGTTCAAGTTCTCCCTGGCGAAGCAGAGTGCAATACCGATGAACGCCATTGTCTTCCGATGTGTTGCAGTTGCGACTACTTGACTTTCTACAGGAGTGATGTCCACATGGGACGTAAGTTCATGAAGGTGGACCTGGCTCCGGTCATCTGCGTGAGTTGGAGGTTGATGCGCCTTTCATTCAGTGGCGTTCGCGCAAGAAAATCAATCTCCCCGCCAGGTACATCTCCAAGTTGCCCAACTCTCCAGAAAGTCCGCGTTCATTGCTGAAGAAGAACAAGTGGAGAGCCAGTAGGCAGGCTTGCGTCGACTGCTCCGCCTTCACAGTGACACCAGCGTTGTGTTCCTACGAATTCTACGTGGGGGATTGTCTGCGCACGCCCGATGGTTTCTTTCCGACAAATTCTGCTGGTTATTGTCCATTGGTATGCTCTTTCATGGAATCAATGACACATAGAGGGCTCGTTGCGGCCGTGCGCCCGGCAGTCGAAAATGTGCTCATTCTTGATGAGCTGATCGTTTCCAAGTATATTGGCGTGCGTCTGGGTATTGGTCATTACGTCCTCATAGTTCTCATATATATTGCACAAGATGACAATGGTACAGCTGGTGACCGGCGCTAGATCCAGGTGAAAGATGGTATGTGTGTGGGTGCGTATGTTCAGTCTCTGACGATTTCCATTGGTACACCGTGAGTGTGTTTCATTTCCCCTTTGCGGCTGAGGTCTGACGCATGACCTGTAGCATTGTTTGTTTCCTTTGATTTGAGTACAGAACTTGGGCAATGATTGCAGAGACGTTTCGCGATTCGAGAAAATGCGCGAGCGCTGAGATGCAACGGCGTGCTGTGCTTCTTACCAGTTTCTTTCCTAACCCATACTGAACCTAAGTCCAGCATGGGGGATGCTAAGAAATCCCGGACAGGTTCCGAGAGTCAACCCTTTGATTATTCCCCGCCCCAAACTCGTTTGCGCCAACCGCGCCACTTTGGCCCAAGCTCAAGTGCCTTCTGTGGATCGAGATAGCAGTTTCGACCGTGGAAATCCGAGACAGGAAAATCGTGCGGTTCGGGAAATCGTGCTTCGTCGCACAGGTGTTTTAAGCTAGCTGCACCACGTAGTAGCGCCAGCTGGGCTGAATGGATCCTGACTAGCCCAAGTAGATTGGGGCATACTGGTAACTCACAGCGGGACACACAACAAGACTACAGCGTGCAGCGCGAGGTTGATCCTACACTATGGTAGGGGCTCCGAAACGGGAAAACGTCAAACTAAGTTCAGAATCCTTCACCCTTCACTGTATCTATCAGAAAGAGGGCTTACGAATGCTGGTGTTCACTGCAAAGTTACAAAAGGGGGGGTAGAGCTAAATGCGCGCTACCATGTAAACAGTTGTGTTGCCTTCAAACTACTATGAAAACTTAAAGTAAGTTGCCTTGCATGAGCAACTATTTGGGCAGAGGACCAAACACCCGTACAATTGAAAACGCGTCGCCAGGCGCGCTGTTTTGTCGACGCGTGCTCAGATTAGCGACATCAAGGCGAGAAGCGGCAAAGTTCGCTCCCCGGTCATTTGGCAAACACCGCGCAATCTCACGTCTTTGTAACCGTATTTTTAAAAATCTATTGCCCACCCTGCCGGCCTGAAAACTGGCCGAAAGGAGCAGCCTGTGAAATTTCTTCTGAGCACGACGGCCCTGTCAATGTGTGACGATCTTTGCGAACGTGCCGACAACGGCTTGCGTCTTGCTGGCTGACATCCAAGCCAAGAGGCAACATGACCCGAGCAAAGAGCATTTAAGGTGTTCTTTCCCCTGGTCTCGGGAAGCTACAAAAAAACTCCTGTGTGTCTTGATCAAGACAAGCCTGGCTTGCTACCGCGACACAAAACATTGAAGCGTGTTGTTTTTGGCCGGGCAAGCGTGTGCCGTAGATAGCGAAGTGGAGGTCAACACCTACCCCCCCCCCAAAGCGAATCACTAGCTTTGTCAATGCTGGGCAAGGTTGAGCTGCGGGGCTTGGCAGCGACCCTTATTATTGATTGAAAGCAAGAAGATAGCCCTGCACATGCGGAGTTTGCCATGCGCTTAGGCAACTTTCCCAGTTTGCTTGAATCCTGTTGCTCGCGCTAAGGATTTTCCTTGCGCCTCAAGAGTCTTGCTGCGCACTTAAAGTACTTGTCCGGAACAACAAGAAGATTTGCTTTTGCCTGGTTCGGAGTTCTGAGGGCGTTGGTTCATGGTGTGTAAGCGTGTGTCACCCGCAACACCCTCAGCGTCAGCAGCAACGCCCTCCAGCATCACCCGCGCCGGCGGTGCGGACGCGCGATGATGGCAGCGTGGTGGAGCTTGCGCTTTTAAGCGCTCAATTGACACCAATGCAAAAAAGGCGACGCCGCACCAAAACATCCGGGAATTTTGCAAGTCGCAAAAAGGGTGCCCGAAGCGAGCGCCATGAACACACCCAAGGGATGTTCCCAATAGATCCTTCAAGTCTAAAAATAGTCCCCGAAGCTATCTTAGTCCAAAATAAGGTCACGTGTTGATGTTTGACCGTGGTCTAATCCCTTAGCCCCGTGCCCACGCCCGCCTGCCTCGCACTTGCTGTGTCTCTCTCGGCTTCGTTCTTGTTTCCCCTCGCCATGTCTCAAGTCCACTTCAACGTTTGGTAAAGAAGAGGTGTCCATGCTAGGGTCATGCTGTGTATAGGGTTCACGCTGTACGTTTTGTCACGCGCCGCAAGTTCGACGCGTCTAGAAAATTGGTCCAGTTTGGGATTTGATAAAGGTAAGCATAGGCAAAGCATTGGGTTTTTTTTATGGTCATGTCTATTGTGCCCTCGCCAGCCCCTGCCGCCACCTGTCCAGCACTTGGTCCCATGCGGAAGAATCTGGAGCCCCGCGGCACAGCACGAAGCCGTGAACGCGGCAGGAAGACCACAGGCCACCTTGCTGGCAGCGAGACAACAAGCTACTGCGCACGTTTCAGCAAGCCAAAAAACACCCAAAACCTAATGTACGGAAACAGAAGAAAGCAAATGCCAGTCTGCCGAACACTGAATGCCATTCATCTAGCTGCACAGGATCATAGGACGCCCAGTCGCAAGAGAGGCAGCAAACGCACATGCGCCATGCGAAGGAGCAACACTAAGGCCAGGTGCTCCGAAACTCCTCCACGCTGGACCAAAACCAACGAGCGCCTGCTGATGCCGCAAACACCCCCGCCACCCCACCCCCCCAACCCAAGCCAAAGGTCCACCGAAACACAGCGGTCGTTTATCGCGCCAAATTGTCGATGCTAATTTAATCTCGAAACGGGGCTGTGTCTCAACAGACCATCTCCCCTCGCTGAGGAAGTCTCCACAAATCAGTTCACCCCAAAATTGAGTCGTGGAGAGCTTTTGGGCTTCCTGCACATTGACTCAAACCTTGGTGGAGCGGCATTGGAAAACTCGCCACAAATCGCGTTGGCCTCGCCACCAATCTTATGGCCTCATAAAACACGCTGAATGGAAAAAAGTACATCTTCAGAAAACAAAAGATGAACGCTACACATGTCCAGTTTGTAAATATGAAAGTGAGAAACATAAGGCGCAGCGCGGAAAATATCTGTTGGAAGTAAAAGAAAGAGGAGGTGAGGCAGAAGAACCCGAACAAACCAGCATTGATGAAGATGGCATTGAATCGAACGGCGTAAATACGGAACTTATCGCGTAAATTTCAGGGGCATGGAACGGGCGTTTCACTTAATAGGGAACTACCATTTAACGTGCAAAATGCAAATTCCAAATGCAGATTTCAAGATATGTTCATTGTGTGTCATGTTTTTTGTGGTGTGAATTTAGGCATTTTCCTTGATTTGGGCGGACAAATCCCTACACACACACACATTGCCTGGCTTCTGGATGGGATTCCTACACATTGCCTTGTTGCTGGACAAACCATACATTGCCTTGTTGGGTTACTGGACCATTGCCTTGTTGCTGGACGGGGCTTGAATACATTGGTTGCCTTGTTGCTGGACAGGAATCCCACTGCCTTGTTGCTGGACGGGCGTCCTAGACATTGCCTTGTTGTTGGGCGCAAGTCCACCGCATGCTTCTGACGTGCGGGGAGGATGGAGCCATTCTCTACTGGAAGAATATGTGGAAGCTGAACGACAGCGACAACACTGGGGGCTGGTGGTATGAGCGCGACGACACCTCCGCCACTGGCGCGTGGGAAACTGCTGCCGGCCTTGGTTGGGTTGATCCTGCCCCAGTGGTGAAAGCGGCTTCAGGCTCCCCGGCCGAGGCCACGGCCAATTGCTCGTAGTGTGAAGATATTGTGCCTGAAAGCGCTCGGATGTTTTTGGCTTGGGCTTACTTGATTTGAGCTTGGGCTGAGGTCGTGTGCTCTTGTCTGGAAATAGGCTCACGATCACGCAGTTTAGAGGTCATTGGTGCCTAACAACGGGACAAAGATGAACGATGCTGCACGTGTCCGGGGCCAAAGGCAAATTAGTTCCGCTCTCTTTGTGACCTGAAGGAGGATGCTTCGATCATAAGTCCTAAGTCTGCGGCCGCCGTCTCCACGAGCGTGCCGGTGACTGCCGCAGCAGCGCCTGCCTTGCCGGTGGAGGCAGGGGAGTCCGAATCGAACTTAACACAGCCCCCCAAGGCGCAAACAGTCATGCTGATACTTTAGGTCGAAAACATGTGGGTTTAAGTTGGATAGCGGCAGTTTAGGCTGCGTCGAGTCTTGCACTGTTAATGCAGAAGCGCTCGAACACTGGCCACCCTTGAAAAGCACAATGCCAATTCTTTGATCAGGCATCAAGCGAATCCCAAAGCAGTCAGATCAAAGAGGATCAGAAGCTATTGCGGGGCGCCCCTTGTGGCTGGCTGTTTGGCCTTTTAAAGGTCCTTCGAAGGTGTTTTTTAGAATGATGCTTCTGAATCCAGTCCAAAACAGAACTTCCTCAATACGGCCTTAAGCCTGGAAGGGCGCAGTCGCAACCACCCTTCAAGAACAAAAGGCTGAGGCTTTGCTTTGGGAGTTTATCCCAGGCGTGTCATTAGAGAGAACCCCAACACAGCCAGATTCATCAAGGGCTCTTGAGCTACTCTCTTTTGCGCGACTGCTTGGCCTTGTTTCGCAAAAATGTGGTTCGAGGGCCACTGCGAAACATGAACTCCTGGATCTAAGGCCTTTGGCCTCTGATCCGGGAAGGGCTTAGACGAACCATGACGAACCACGCTTTGGAAGTGAAAAGCAAAGGCGTTAAAAGTAAAAGGCTAAGTTTGCGTGTGTTTTGTGCTTGGGTTTCCTTAAGCAAGCTTCTGAAAAAATGCCAGAGTGAGGGAGTGAGGGATCAGTTCAGTCATTTCCGCAGCATGCGTTTGGCCCAATTTGCAAGCGGAACGTCCCGCGCACAAGCGGGACCGGCCAAGGGGCGCGAGAGTGGTTGAGCCCCAGGTGTGGAGGGTTTCAAAGTGGAGACTGGGTCAAGGCAGCAAACCTAGAAATGTGCTTGGACATGAAGCGCGTGGCCAACAACACCAAGGCGACCGATTGGAACGAGCTGAGTGGGCTTGAGACTGTTTGGAGAGTTTGTTTCTATCGCGCTTGCTGGGCTGGATGCTGTCACGAGATGGTCTGGCTCAGTAAAGATGCCTTTCTGATGGTTCCCCAGCCAGAGGAGGAAACAGCAGCCAACACGTGGACAACTTCTTATGGTCGGGACGGAAGGGAGAAAAGGAAGGATTCTTGGATTGTTTTGGCGGAAGAGATTGTGGTGGGAGCGAATGAACCCTCCACATCTATGCTCCACCGAAACTGGCGTGCGACTAGCCTCGCCCACCCGCTTCTCACGCTTCTTCAAGTGATCCTTGAATTATCTTCCTCTTCAGCCTTCTCATCCGTTCTCTCCATCGCATCTTTCTCGAATCTTAGATTTCCATTTTCCTTGCTCGTTTTGTTTGTATCCGAAACAAGCGAAATTTTGGATTTTGTGTTTTTCCTCCATTTTAGAAAATTGAGACCCCCAAAATCAGGATTTTTGCTTAACTTTGGAAAGTTGAGACCCCAGAAACTTGGATATTGTCTTTTCTCCTTGTTGGAAAGTTGAGACCCCGGAAATCTGGATTTCGTTTGGTTTTTTACTTTGGAAAATTGAGACCCCGGAAACCTGGGTTTTCTTTTTTCCAATATACAAAATTGAGGAAACAAGAAGCCCGGGCTTCGCTGACCTCACTGTTTTGCAGCCCCCAAGGCCAAACAAAATCAAAACCGCTTCGCGCCTCCAACTAAGCCAGCCCAGCCGGATCTTCAGACTGCTTTTGTTTTTTAGCCTTGGAAGCCCAGGCTCAGCATGAGCGCGCGCTGCGATACGCGTCTTTGCACCACCCGCCAAAAAAAGGAGGCAGAGAAAGACGAAGCGGGCCAAGGTTAGCCCCGAAGCCATAACGAAAACATGTTTCTTAATCCAGTGTCGCTTCTACCCACAGTAGTAGACACTCGAATCCTATGTCAAGTCTCCCGCCTGAGCCTCCTCCACACAAGCCTTGGAAACAGAAGAAGCCCATGAGTTCCCAGCCCCCCATCACCAGGTTTTCTTTAGCAGTTGTAGTTTTCCGGGGGCCCAGCCCAGCATTAATGCCGTATCGGTCAAGTTTCGCGGCGTTGCAGGTCTAGGCTGGCTCAAGGTGTATTATGACACCTTGTTCGCTTTTGCTGCTGCTATGTGTTTCGCGTGCCATGTATGAACCATGCCTTTACTGTTGCTCGCCGCAAGCTATGGCCGCAAAATGTTTACGACCAGAGCGGGCAGATGCGCAAGCAGTCATTTGCGCTAAGCCCCGCCCTGGCTCACTTGGCACAGCTGCACAGACTGACCAATGAACCGCAGCCGGAGCAGCCAGCATCTACAGCTACAGCTGTGGCCCGCTGCTTGAGCGTTGTGAGTTTCGGGCCTGGCCAGGAATCCGTGGGCTCCTTAACCTGTTGGGGCCCCGAGGAGGAAGCCTTGTGTGACTGGCTTGGCGGCCTTGATTTTGTACAGCTTGAAAATGAAGGCTGCTCTGAAGTTGCTTCAGCCTTTTTCATTGCCCCGCCCGGTTCAAGCTGCCCTTGTGGTCTTCCGACCCGTGCTGAGGCTTTCAGCTGATTCAGCGTCACAGCGGGCTAAGCCGCAGCCAATTCCAGCAGTGGATGCAGGTTACCGCAGAGGACATTGACAGGTTTCTGCCAGCCTTGCCGCTCGAGCTGATATTCTGCCAGCCTTGCCGCTCGAGCTGATATTCTGCCACGCCTGTCACAGACTGGTTTTCAGAGCCTCATGGCTAAAAAGCTACCCGCGGGCAGCACCACGCTGGTAATAAGAGAGCAGCAAATCTTGCATGCTGCAGCAACAGCAGTCTGTTGAAGACAGGATTGCTGCTCTCCTGGAAGGCCATGTCCGTCGCTTGCAATCTCTTGCTCAAGCCGCGGGCGCAGCCGCATTTCTGGTGGATTGAGGCGTATCACAAGCAATCGATTGATCAAGGCTCTATGCGCATCGATGTACTTGCGGGATAGAAGTAAGCTTCTTGAGGTTTTACAATTGGGTCTTGAGTCAGTGCCCCAGAGTCGTTTTGCAGCAGGAGCTGATGCAACAAAAGCCTCCATCTGCTGCCTCAGTTTGTCGTTCGCAAATTTTGGTGGATGCTGCCACGCGCACCTACTTTGCTCAAACGTTTGCCACGTTTGATGGTGTTTTGTACTTGTGGGCAGACTCTAGCCTCAGCTTGCTTCGGGCGATCCCTTTCTCCAGCCTGCGCAGCTGTGTCCAGGCAGCACAGACTGTGGAAACTTCGGCGAGTATCTGCAGAGACACATGCAGTCGCACCGGCAGATTGCAATTGCCTTAGGAAGCGCAGCCTGGTTACACGACTCTGGCCTGGAAAGCGAGGCAACAGTGAGCGCCCCGCAGCGGGCCCCAGCCCCAAACAGCTCTCAGGCCATGCGCCAAGGCTATGTGTTTCCCAATTCCTTGCCCTCTCCAGGACTCCTGCGCGTGTTTCACAACATGTGTGCTGATATTTATAGGTCCTTTGCAAATTGGGCTTCTTGGATTGAGTCTATCAAAGCCTTGGCTGAACTGTTTTACCGCAGAGGTCAGAAAGGGGCTGATCGGAACTGCTTTGGGGCTCCTTGAGAGTTTATGAAGTCCCGGCTTGAGACAGGCCTGGAGAAGCCTGCTCTTTGGCGGTGGAGCGCCATTCAAAGTTGTTGGGCTTCAAGCGCCTGCTGCCAACCATTTATATTTGGGATCCTCACAAATTTGGGCAGCAGCCAGATGCCCGGGCGCGGGAAGAGGCAGCAGCGGAGGGTGACCGCAACTCTGACCCTGCAGAATACGTGGACCTGACCAACTTGCCCAATCACAGAGAGCATTCGCTCGGAGGCGTTTTTGCTGTACGGAAACATGGTGTGCAAGTTAAGCCAATTCAGCGAAGACCTCCGTGTTTGGTCTGAGTCTTGCCCGTGCCACGCCTGGCTGCACAATCCAGGCCCTTCTACGCCCCGCCCCGCCGCCGCCGCTGCAAGCGGCGACAACCCCGCCGGAAGCGGTGACTCCGCCGACTGCAGAGAGGCTACATGCTATCAGGCAAACCTTGGGTTTACAGCAGGGCGCGGGACGGCTCTCACTACGGCCCGTGTCCTCTGGCAGGCCAACGAGCCGTCGAGTTGGCCACTGGCGTCATATACCATCTTCTTGACGATTTGCGCGAGTCCTACGTTCGCGAGATCTTGGAACACAATCAGCGCCTTGACCTTGCAGCCATTGAAAACACGCTGGCTGACTTCACTCTTGGGAAGTCGAAAATTGCCCAGCACCTTGGCCTCAAGCTGCAGTGCTGGACGCAGCTGCCATGGAAGCTGGCCGCTTTGGCCTCTGTAGGCACAAGTCTGGCCAGGCAAAAAGCAAAAGAATGGGATTGGCAGCAGAAGTGCCACGAGAAGGTGATCAGGGTGACAGCCATCCCGACCATCAACAGCAGCGACATCGGCGCCAAGGCATTGTCAAGAGCAAGGCTTCATGACGGGCGTGGTTGACAAGGACAACTGCGAAATCGGCAAGGATGAGTTTCGCAAGACAAGGGCGCCGACAAGATTCTGAGCGACCTGAAGGACGAGTGCCGGATGGCTCTGGTGGTGGCTTTTGCCAATGTGGTGGGAGCCAAGGGAATCAAGGTGAAGGAAAGCGAGCCCAACGGAGCGGGCGGAGATTGGATTTGGTTGTTTTGGCCGGTGTGGGCCTTGAGCCTAGGCAATCCTCACTGCAAGGGTGGTAGGGCGCTTCCACGTTCCGCAAAAAGCTGTGGACCTGAAGGTAGCGTGTCAGAGTGAGGGATCAGTTCAGTCATATCCGCAGCATGAGAATCATGAACGCATGGATGCATTTAGGCGCCAACTTGCATAGTCAAAAAGGGTGCGCAGTTTTTCTCCAGTAGCGACAATTATTTGAGAAGGTCCTACATTACATGGCCGGAGCGTCGCCCAATTTCAACTAGGGTCTTGCTCTGGGGGCCTCGTAAAACCAAAGCGACGCCAAGAGGCTTGTTTCTTGAAGACAGGTGTCCAAATGGAAGATGGCTTCAAAGGAAAACCAACAGGAAAACCGAAGAAGCCGATTTGGGCGCCCCAAAAAACCTGACGCAGGCGCGGCGGACTAACCGTTGGGGCGATGGCCTCGATGCAGCAGCCTCGGGGCACCGGGACTTCTTCCCCAAGGGATGGACTCCCGCCAAGACAGTGCGCGAAGCGGTGGAGGCGAGGACGAAAGCAACCTCCCTTTGATTGTTGGTTTGCATTTGGAGGTTGACAAACCGCCAATGTATGATATCATATCTCTTTTTTTTGGCTTGAGCCAGAACTTGCGAGTGTGATACCGAAGGTGACGTGGTTGAAAAGCAGGCCCATTGTATCATGGGCCATCTTTTACATATCTTGCGAGATGAGGCATTTCGGGTATACAGCCCCGAAGAGATTGATTTTGTCCTGAAGAAGGGCTGCGCGATGGCGCTGGACCTCAAAGATGTTGACATGCACATGGATGATGACTGTGCTGCAGTCATCTACGCCTATACCCAGGACTGCGGCAGATATTTGACACCGGCAACAGTACCTGTAGTTGACTTACGTGGGGGGGGGGGGGGAGTGTTCCTCGAGCAAGCACGTGTTTTTTTCAGTGTCAAAATGGGGAAAGACAACACAGTGCCCAGAGTCCATGTCAGTAAGCGCTTTCCACACAAAAAACGCGGCATTCTGCGGGGTGTTGTTTGGCCGTGCAAGACCATTGGCTTATTAATCCTGAAGGCTTTTTTTTGTCCGGCGCAAAAGGTCATTCGGCCCAGACTGAAACCTTGAGGAGAAGCCGGAGCCCCCATCTTTGTATACAAAGTTGAACGATGCAATGCGCACGTCGGGCGGACTTGCAGAGAAGCGACTGCTTCTGTACCTGGACTACATCCACAGTCTTTCTGAGGCTCACGGCCCAGAACACAATTGCCAAGCAGCCGTTGCTTTCCCCTAAATGTGTGCGTTTAATGATCATTGCGCGAGCACTTGGGGAAGCAAAGGAAGGTCATAAGGTCGGCTTTGCGGCATACTGCCAGAGACGGGTGGGTATTGTAGCCTGTCGTGCCTTTTGATTATTTTATATGATGACTGTTTTTTTGGAATGACATTAGAAAGCCCTTTGTAGCCGTTTTGACTCTCGCGCGTTGCCAGGCGCTGTCGCTGCTGCCGGCCTACTCGGGGGAGTGTTACCGTGGTCTCAACCTCCGCTTGCATCCAAAAACCTACGAGGTTCGCAGTCACGTTGTTGGGTGATAGGCTTGGGAACAACATCGAAACCTAGCCGGGGGATTGCCACTCATTGAGAGCAACACAGTTTCGAAGCCGAGCCTTTGAGATCAGCTGGCGTTTGTCCCAAGGTGATCCACATGCTCTGCTTTGAAGCGCAAAGACGTGACAAAAACAAATGTCTTGTTTTGGAAGGCTAGCCCCATTCTTGGACCAAAGGGTTTTCGAAGAGCCCATTGCATTGCGCCCCTGTTTTGGGAACTGACAAGGCCCATCCCCCGACCCCTTTTCAGATTTAAGGTTCCTTAAAAAGGCGAACAAGAGGTGCTACAAAAGGACGCGGGTGTGTTTTTGTTGGGGGGGAGGGGGTTTTGAAGGGAAGTTTGTTCAAAAGACACACCCGCGTCGCATAGTGACAGGTTGGCAAGACAATCACCTGGCAGCAGTTCACGTCAACCACGAAGAATCAGTTCGTCGCCCTCAACTTTCTTGGCCGCTCTGGATCGAAGCTGCACGGGTCTTTCTTTGTCCTGAAGGTGCGCAGCCAAAGCCCTTGACTAGTTTGGCTTTTCTCCTACCCAGAAAATGAGAAACGATTGTTTGAGACCTCCTTCTTTTATATTTCGAGTTTAGGTGAAGTCTGGCAAAGACATCCGAGATATCAGCGCCATCCCCGCAGAGGAGGAGGTGCTGATCAAAGAGAACTCGCATTGGAAGGCCACCAATCCAAAAATGTAGCTTGTAAGAAAATTCCTATTTCTTAAGATGGTGGGCCCTCTTTAGGTTTCGATTGAATGAAAACTCAAGGAAAACCAATTAACCGTTTTGGAACCGCTTTTTTGAGGAACACTTAAAAGTAGAATGCCATCTAACCTCGTTGATTCGTTTTTGAGATTAGCCATGGTTTAACCCATCACCAGGGATGTCGCGATAGTGACTGACCGGTGATGTTTGGCTCAAGTTTGCGGGTCCGTCTCGCCTCGCACAAGCGTCGCCGATCACCTTCGTGTCGGTGGAGAAAGAGACATCGGCCCGGGGCAGATAGGTGGGGTCCGCCCGTGCGGTTCATCGTCGATCAAGGTTGCGGGCATTTGCATTCTTGTTTTGGTGTTTTTTTCTTTTTGGTTGTTGTTCTCTGGTGTGTGGGAAACCCTGATCTTTGGGACCGGGGATTGGTTTGCTTTTGGGGAACCTTTCTTTTGTGGCTTGTTTACCCCAACTTACCCATTGCCTGGGCACAGGCTCGTGCCCGAATCACAGGTTATCAGCCGTAGGACTTTCCTGCGCGCTTGAGACCCTCAACTACGAGCTCAATGACGTCGACCCCACGTTCACATAGGAGTGTCGCGGATGAGGAGGCCATCCTAGGTGGGCTCCGTTCAGGTGAGGACTTGCCGGACTCCCGGACTACGACTACGAAGCAGGTTCGACAGGTCAGGGCCGTAGGGGTGATGATCCCGATAGGAACACACCCCGAAGCCGTGTCAGGTACACCGACGATGGAGACGACCGCATTTTCCGTCAGGTTACCGATGATGAGCGAGGGAGCTCGCTCCGATAGGGGCCGCTCCGAATCAGGTTTCGGACCGGAGCCATTGGACTTCATCAGCATGGCGATGAACATGGCCCGACCGCACACGGACGACCTGGAGGCTAGGCCTAGCCGATCTCCTAGGTCTCTTTTTCCAGGTGAATCACAGGCCTCAGGAGAGCTTGAGGACAGGCCGCGAGGACCAGGAACCATGGTTTTGGCTCCGAGAGATATCTCGGGTTGATCGACTGGGTCCCAAAATCCAGTTCAGTTTGATGAGCGCGAGGAGAGGACGTTCGCGGGCATCGGATACGATGCCCTACTGTCTTCAACTGCAGGATGGGGCGCCGTGAAACGAGAGAGCAATGCCGATAGGCGCGGTCAAATGTCAACGAATTCTGATGCGCATCATGACGATCAGGATCATGCCGCATTTGCAGATGCACGCGATGAGGAAGAGAGCCTGTCCCGCAAAAGTGCGAGGGTTCGCGCTGCTGCAGTGGCCAGGAGCCCGTCTCGTGGGGCTGCAAGGGATCCACGTGAGGACAGGGACGCGCGAAGTGAGAGAGAGCAGATTCGGGAGAGTCGGGGGTTAGGAGGCAGTCCGAGATGGGAGAGGACCGATAGGTCCTCTCAGGATTGATTATACCCCAAATGTTCCCCCTTTTCCAAACATCACCTTTGGAGGGCCGCTGCGTGCGGTTGAAGCAGGAGCGAGAGACGGGAGACTTGCAGGTGCGCTCGGGGTTGGGGATCGCTCACCGATCACAAGCCCGTTACGCCGTGATCTCAGCGATCTCGAGCCACTGAGGTTGAGCAATGAGTTCACTCCTCAGTGGGGTTCTGCTAGCAGGGAACGTAGTGCTTCTGCAAAGAGGCCGTCGCCCATAGCCGGAGATACCGAAAGGTTAAAGGCAAGGAGGGCTAGCCCAGAACCGATAGGTTCTACGCTGAGGGACGAGGACATGTTTGACCCTGCTGACGTTCATATTCATTCCACGCCCGAATCCCATAGGTCTGATGTTATTCCCAGATCTGGTTGCCTCAGGGAGCGCGCCAGCAGTGAGAGGCTTCCTGAGAGGGTCGAGATATCGACCCCTCCGGCCCTCAGATCTCACTCATCAGGAAGCTAGGGTAAAGGAAGTGAGAGGCGAAGCTTCGGGCTCGGTCGTTAGCACCCTCACTGCTTTTGCTGATCAGATCAGGTTACTGAACGGTCAAGTGCGCCGGGAGTGGCGTGATGAAAATCAGCAAATGAGGGACAGGGTTAGCCATCTGACTACTGAGGTCGCGAATCAGGCAGACGCCGACCGGATGCGATTGACAGTACAACGGTTTGCTGCCGAGGTGATACCTGACAGCAGGGCGATCGTTAGACACGCGATCGATGAACAGAGTGTTATAATCGATGAGAGGATCGACTCTCTCACTACTGAGGTTCAGCGTTCCGTTAGGAACATCGAGAGCGGTATGAGTCAGCTTCATCAGGTCATTGAGGACAAGCATCGCGCTATATTCAGGAGTCAAGGCGCCTTTCAGGACCAGACCAACCTTTATGTTGGCAAGTTCGATGTGACAGAGAGGACCGTTAGGTCAATTCCGTCCCTAGCGCCCCAGCTGCAGCGGGGCCCGATAGGCAGCGAAACTAATGAGAGTGTTAGGATTCTAACCAAAAGAGTCAATAGGCTCCAAGGCGATTTCAGGCCGAGCATGGGATCGAATCTGGAAGAGGATCCATTGTGACCGATATGCCTAGGACCCCTGATGGTTCGCAGGATTGGCGCGCGGTTATCGAGGAGGTTAATCGTAAGATTCAGGATCTCACTCGTAGGGTTTAGGTGACCGAGGATGTTGAGGAGACTGTGCAAGCTATGAGAGCGCAGATTGCAACCGTCCCCTAAGTGTGGAGCAAACTCAGGCCGTCGTTAGACGGGGAATGGTCTACTATCGCAACATGGTGGATGCATGTATGCGGAGGCTTGGGGTCGTCAAGAACAACATCCGCGTTCTGAATGAAATGAACACTCGTGTTACGGGGCAAATTGCTGAGCTTGAGGGACACGTCGACGATGGCAGAGCGTCGGATACGATGCTTTTGCTGGGCAGGGGCACAGGATCAGATCACCGACGCCCGCTCCTGGAGATCGAAGTGCTCAGGGTGCTGATCAATCAGTCAGTCAAGGTGGAGGCGATAGACTCACTGATGAGGTTTTGAGGAATAGCAGAAGAGATGTCGCGAGTGGTCAACCTCATCAGGTAAACAGGGTAAACAGGAGGTCTGTTTCCCCAAGCGTGTCTGCCGGTTGAGGGGTTGTACGAAGGTATGACTTGCCAGGTTCTAGGTCCGTTAGGTCCGGGAAAGAGGGGCGGCCAAGGTCATCTTCACCTGGAAGGAGCAGTCAGAGAGACAGGGTGTGTCCTGGGATGGGTAGTCAGAGGGATAAACGAACTCCGTCTTCCAGATCCAAGTTTGCCAAGACAGGAAAATGCAGGTTCGGGCGTGACAGGAGCCCGACAAACCCCGCTGCGCCCTTGACCCGAGAACAGGCGACAGACGCGTCAGGGACAAGCCTATGTTTTTCGGATACTGCTATGACTGGATGTATGGGAAGTGCACCGCTGAGAAGTGGCTGGCCCAGTTGTTGAAGCGGAGGAGGAGGAGGCTCCCAGGTCACCTACGCCGAGGCGTCTTGACAGCCCCGCTCAAAGATTGACGTGTTTTAAGGCGGGGCGGGGCGTTACCCTAAGGCCGGCCGATTGTATTGTTGCGGCGTGTCCCGTGATGTGGGCTGCTGCCCCAGCTATCGGTGGGTCTGCGCCGGGGTGTCTCCCGCCTTGCGTTAGCAGCTGGGAGAAAAGCAAGAAGGACGCAGTGTTCTTCGTGAGAACCACTGGCGGAGGTCCCAGGTGGGACCAGGTTGGGGTGGACTCCGGTGATCGTCGATCACTCCTACTCAGGAGGCCCTTGAGGAGGACTAACATTAAGACGGTACTTTGGTACTGTGATGAGCCTGAGGCTGTGTTGTCCTGGAGACGCAAGTATTTTCAGAGTGGTGTTGATAGGGAGCCTCTGAGGGTCAAGATCCCTGAACTTCCTGATGTGTTTGTTATTTCCATTGAGAATGACAACACGGGTAGGATCGTTAGCCGCTGTAGGGAGGCCCCCAATGCGATAAAGTTCCCATCTCGTAAGAAGATCGCCAGGGAGGTTCAGAGTGCTCTGATAAGAGCCGCGGCTGTGCACGCCCCCAAGTTCTGTTGGATAACGATGATGAAATCGACACCAACCCTGAGGATGTTCGAGGACATCGTGTTGCGCGAAAGCCGAAGTACACCCAGAAAGTTGCTGCGCCTGTGGGGTGCAGCGGGGTGAGATGGTTGGTCGACACTGGCTGCCCAATGGACTTGTTGGGCTTGCCGATCTGAAGGACCCGATAGGGCCCTAATCGCCAAAGGCGGGCACACACACACGCCTCGCGTGCAACTCGTGCTGCAGGTCGCGTCGATGCTGATGTCGGTGATGTGGACGAGGTGATTGAAGCACACGTCCTTGAGTCTACGCCATCCACCATCTCGGTAGGAAAGCGCTGCATGGACATGGGCTACTCGTTCAATTGAAGTGCGGGCAGCAAGCCTACCCTCACATGCCCATCGGGTCGGACAGTGATGCTGGACGTCATCCTTACCTCCCTTTTGGTGAAACTCAGTTTGTTTCCCCTCTCAGGATGACAATGAGGCCATTCCTGCTATGCCAGCTCCCGGTGTCGCGTATGCGGAGTCAAGGTTCGTGAAGAGCCAAGAGCCGACCCCGTGCTGACCAGCAGAAATAGCCCTCAGGACAATTGGAGAACTGAGCGATCAGGTCATGTCGGTCCGGCCAAGGCTGATGCAGGACCGACTCCAATGGAGGTCGATCCACCTGATGATCAACCAAAGAAATCAGAAATCATGGATCGCGGTAGTGGTTGAAGGAGCTCGGCCTTGTGCGAAAGCGAAGACAACGCCGTCCCCAAAGGCCGGCGAGGTTCAGGCCCCGAAGGCGGAGCGTGAGGGAAAGGCAACTCCCGTTCCAAAAGCAGGAGGCGATCAGGCTCCAAGGGTTGAGTCTAAGGAGGTGAAGAAGACCGACCCGAGGACTGAGGTCAAGAAAGAAAAAGGGAGCGGGGACGATGCTCCGGATAGCCGGGGCTCGGATGAGAAACCCAAAAGTGAGAGAAAGTCTCGCTGGGATCCGGAGGTGCCTACGAAAGAGTCAACAAAGCGGGAGGCATCGAAGAGACCCGATGATGTTGATAGTAGGCCAGGTGCGGCGGCAAGAGAGGGAAGTGGAGATGATCTCTTTGGCCAAGGAAAGGCAATGGCGAAGAAGCCTGAAGGGAGTGAAGTCAGACTGCGCCCGGCAGAGTGAGCTGCTGCCAGCCCGGTGGAAGGACACTTTAGGACGCTGCCAGAGGCCCCGATGGTGGATGCGTTCCTGGCGATGTCCTCCAACAGGGTGCTCGACAGACAGATTAGAGATCAGGAACGGCGAGGAGGGCTCGGCGTTGGAAGTTCTCAACCAGATCGTGGCGAACTCCCCCCGCACGCCTTCCCGGAGGTCCGTTAGGACTCAGGACACCAGGATTCTCGAGGCGCAGGTGTCGACCGCGAAGAGATGAGGATCGGGATTGGAGAAGAGATGATCGGCGAGATCATCGCGATGATGAGTCGCTCGATCGCGAGCGCGATCGAAGGAGGGATGATCGTAGGAGGTCGGAGAGGGAACGTGGCCGAGACCGTGCGCGGGGCGGGCGTGACTGGAGGAGACGTGATGACAGCCGATAGGCTGATTCACGAGGGTTGCGGCCGATAGGCTTGCGCCCACTCTCCCCATGGTCGGCGCTGCGGGGTGATGATTGTGATCCTCCCGCGCCGCTGAGGCGCGGTGTTCATGTCTCTCCCGTACCGCTGCTCGGCTGCTGGTCATGATCACCATGAAGCAGCGTGAGTGAGAGGGGATGCAAACTGGTGGGGGATACTTCCAGGTTTGCGGAATTTCTCTTGCCGATATGCGAGAGTACTATTGGACATACGTTATCTTCTTCATGGCTTCTGATAAGAATTGAACTACTTGCGTTTCTGATGCAAACAGTTGTGGCCTATTGCCATCATGTGGACTTTGCCACAAGGTATGTTGGACAGCGTTGCCCCGATTAATTTGGGGTGGTGGCGGGAATTTAATGCCCGGGATGTCGCGCGACTGCCTTTGTGGGTTTGCTCCACCGCTGACAACCGGTAGTGTCCAGCTGTTTGCGGACGTATGCGAGCAGTTAAATCCTACACGCTCCACCCGTCAGATGACGGGCTCCTCGTGAGGGGGGTGTGATTAGCCATGGTTTAATCCATCACCAGGGATGTCGCGATAGTGACTGACCGGTGATGTTTGGCTCAAGTTTGCGGGTCCGTCGCGCCTCGGATGAGCGTCGCCGGGTCCCCGCGTCGACCACCTTCGTGTCGGTGGAGAAAGAGACATCGCCCCGGGGCAGATTGGCGGGGTCCGCCCGTGCGGTTCATCGTCGATCAATGTTGCATTCTCGCTTTGGTTATTTTGGTTATATTCTTGCTTGGGTTATTTTCCCTTTTGGTTGTTGTTCTCTGGTGTGGAAACCCTGATCTTTGGGACCGGGGATTGGTTTGCTTTTGGGGAACCTTTCTTTTGTGGCTTGTTTACCCCAACTTACCCATTGCCTGGGCACAGGCTCGTGCCCGAATCGCAGTTTTAAAGAAAGAAGTTGCCTCCTGAAAGCGGTTAGGGGTTTGCGTTTTGCGACCTTACTACGGGCTTACACCTCAAAAGGTCAAAGTTGCCCAGGAAGAGCTTTTGATGAACCGGCCTTGGAAAACAGGGATGGACTGTAAATCTTTGACTTTTCGCCATGAGCCTTGCAAGGTGACAAGCAAAGCCCAGTCATTGGACGAGAAGCAGAAATTGTGTCAGAAGCTTGCGCACTATGACTTGACTGAGATGGATGTGTACAGCCTGCAGCAGCTGTAGACACATGGGCGTCTTACTTCATAAGTTTGACCTAGCCCAAATTGAGGCTCTGTTGATTCTCCAGCGTGGTTGGGCTGGTTTGTCACCCACCTCTTGGAGCAGAGTAGTGCCCACTGCACTGAAGACTTGCCGGACTGCGAAAAACAGGAGAAATTAGAATTTAAGAATAGTGATAATAGTAATAATAATAATCTGTATTTATCCCTTGAAGCGGGCTAAAAACGAGCTTGACAAATGGTTTGTAGTACACATTTGGAAATGGAAAGATATTTCGTATTTGATTGTTTCCGCAAGCGTAGCTTAGACATAGCTTAGACGTAGGGGCGCACGGTAAGAAAGACTGAATGTTAGGATAGTGTGTTTTCGCAGACAATTTACGTTTTGGTTTACGTATTATCTAATTATGTAAATATGGTTTGAGGGAGATAGGGGGCAGGATGGCTTCCGGGCAGTCTACGCTGTGTGTGTTCGCAGGCTGCGCTTGGTGTAGCGAGATGTGGGCTTGGATTGGACGTGCCTTAGGTTGAGTTGAAGGAGAGGCCCGATACGGGGGTGGAAGCAGCGTAAGGCTTGTACAGAAAGTTACAGGAAGGGGTGCGCGCTGCGCGTAGCAACGTGCGCAAACCCATCAACTATGATGCGCGGGAAGCTGTGGTACGCCAAAAGCCTGACACATTTGGAGTAGGAGCTGCTGCGGGAAGCGTAGCGCGCGCAGCAAGCCATGCCGGGCTGTTCCTATTGCCGCCCACCGCGCGGCATAACGGCCTTTGAAATCTCGCAGTATCGTGTTCTGCGCGCTTTGCATGGCACCCTTTTCCAGAGTTTGCTTGGTGCTCAGCCGCGTAGCGCACGGCGTGGGCCAGGTCCAGCACGCCGCCTATCGGCATACGTGAACATAGACCTTGTGCAGGTAGGGAGACCAGGTTGATTTAGTTATACAATGTTATTGATCGTTAATATCATTTTGCGGCGTTTTGTTGCCCGAGCCAAATGTGTTGGTTTGCACGGAGGGGCGCTAGTTCCCCAATTCGCATTGGCTTAAAAAAGTAGAACATCCCGAGTATATAGTAATAATACGAGCGAGGAAAATACTAATAGGTAAAGTGTTTTGTTATAAAAAGAAAGTAAATAGAGAAACAAAATTAGTGTAAGAAAGGAAGAAGAAGGGAGAAATAGCAATAGAGAATAGGTTATCTGGGCTTGCCCTGTTCCCTTTTAACCCCTTTTAAAGTGCGAACATGTGTGAGCCACAACACGCAAGGGGGGATGGAATGATTTGAGTTTTCACGTAGCCTTTTGGCTCTTAGGGTGGGAGTGGTGGGAAACACGATAATACATCGTGGCATTTTGCAGAATTTGGGGTATGAGAATTTTGCGAAATGGATGCATTTGAATCGCATTTGCTACATTGCCGGCGCAAGGTTTGGGGCAGTGTTTACAGGCCGATCTGGGAACAGTACAGTATTCCTGGAGCTCCTGTATCTGTACCTTGCCTGGTCATACCGTCCGGTATTCTGCAGGTAGAGAGGCCACTTCTTGAGCCAGAGCGTGCCGAGGACGATCGTGTGGAGGCGCTAAAGCTATTTAAAGTCAGGCGTACCTCCTTAGACAGATCGTGGGAGCAACATTGCAGTTCACTACGTGCAGCAGCAATCCGGAAGTGGCATGGAAACATTTGCACGTGTTTGACGGCGTTTCAGCTTGGACGTCAGTGGAACAAACAGGAACCGCTTGGTGTTGCAATTTGCATAGATTTGCGTCATGTATTTGCAGGAAAGTCGACGGGCACACTTCACAACTGATCTGGTCCAGTGTTGCGGTACATTGCATGGTGTTCACGCTTTGGGGTGCAGCCATTTCCTCTTACTGAGCAAGTTGCGTATGATTTCATGAAGTATGAGGCGGTGAAGGCTTCATCTACATTTCTGCGTTCGTTCATTGTTTCAGTTGCTTCTTTACATTATGTGCTTGGGCTGACTGGAGCAGACTCGGTCATGCAGAGCAGCCGAATCACAGGACTTGCGCGGCGAAGAAGGAAACTGATACAGCGAAGACCATTTACGGTGAAGATGGTCAAGGCTCTCGAGGATTTCGTACAGGACGAGTCCAAGTCGTTTGACATGGCTGCTTTTTGCTGTTTGTGTATATGAGGGCAAGATTTTCCGACATGATTCACATGACTGCCTTCAAAGCAGATGAGCTGTTCATCGACGGGTTCCTTGAGGGTTACATTGAATGCAGTGTGACGAGATCAAAGAGTGCATATACAACTAAGACAAAAACGCAGTTCCTTCCAATGGCAGCCCCGAGGCGTGGTCTTTCAAGTGGAGACTGGTATGCATCATGGCAGGCCGCATCAGTTGCATCGGGGAACCCAAGGGAGAGGACATGCAAAACTTGCCGGTGCCCACGGAAGGAGGCTGGAGCAAGGTGCCACTCACTGCTTCGGAAGGTTGCACTTGGCGATCAATTCGCGCGGGAACCTTTGACCCTGATACCACAAGGAGTGGGTATTTCCGTGGGGCGGCTGCAGCAAGCTCAGATCAAGTTGCTGATCCCGTGATGCTTCGCCAGCCTGTGGTTGTACAGGATGACCCTGAGGTCAGATCCGAGGTGGGGTCGCATGATACTGACAGCGAGGATTCGCAGGATGAAGAAGCTGATGAGAGCGGCAAGGAGGCTGTTGAGCATGCGCTTGAAGTGGTAGCTCAACCTTGGGGTGAATACCAACCTGATGCAAGTGCTCGTGAGTTTCCGATGCTGATTTGTTTCGACACCGGCAAACACGATACATTCATGTCGCAGCTGATGAAGGTGGAGCTCGATTCAGGTGTGGCCGCGACATCTCAGAGAGGTACGTCAAGTTGGACGTCAGGCCTCAGTTTTGCTCTCCGCAGTGTAGGACGTGCCACTGGTCAGCGGGAGGTGGTGGGGGAGAACGAGCTCAGCAAGCTGGGGAAGTACTGCGCGTCGTGCTGATCTGATGCTCGCGCATCAAAAATGCGTTCAACCCAGAGATCGTGAACAAAGTAATCCAGAATGTTCGCCTTGTGAAGGGCGAGCCCTCGCCGCATCAGGGCAAGTCGCAGAAACATATCACTGCTGATGTCCGCATCCAGCTTACCAAGTTTGTCGCGCACTCTCACAGACCCCGAAGAATCGATGTGCTTGTCATCCTTACCAGCTGAATTGACAACCTCTTGCTCTTTGGATGTACATTTCTGAGGGTCCAAATATGCAATGCGATTATCTTCGTACATCCCAACTGCAACAGCAATCAACCGGTCGCTCGGTTCCAGCTTCCCCTCGATCCTGAGCCCAGTCAACTTGAGCTTCTTGCGCTGCAACCGGTCCGCCCTCTTGGGCTGAGCAAGCCTCTTAGGAGGGGCATCTTCAACACGTTCCACCGATGCTTTAAGCTCAGCACTCGTCATAGCGAAAGATTCATGGAGCAAACGCCTGAGCGTGGCAAGTGTTCCAATATTGGGAGCGCCGCCAAGAGCCGTAGTCACAGCATCCGTAAATGGGGCCTCATCCGCAGCGTTAGGAACATAAGAACTGGAGAAAGCAAACTTTGCAATGGTATCGATACCATTGGTACACAGGGAGTTGATTGTTGGCTTGTCCAACCCCAATGCAACCGCCCTGGCTCTGAAGTTTGGCTCACTGTCAGTCACTGCCATGGCCGAACCTACCTCAAAACACTATTTCAAAGATCAAGCACTCATGCGTGACAAAACAATGCAAAACAAGCGCAAGAACCACAAATTAAGACCAACAATGAGTGCGCCCTCAATGTCTTGAGCCACAAACGCACCCAGTGGATCCGTCAGGTCGCAAGACCATGTCGCGCAAGCGACTAAGATTTGCAACCTCAGGGTAATGGTTACAGCACATCTTTCCAGCTGATGGCATTCCATCGGCATCAGTTGAACACCATGTCTTGAGCTACAAACGCACCCAGTGGATCCGAGGTCGCAAGTGCAACCTCAGGGTAATGGTTACAGCGCATCTTCCCAGCTGATGGCATTCCATCGGCGTCAGCTAAACGGGTTTTACCGTCCAGGAAACAACCTCGTCCTGCGAAGGATTCGAAATCTAAAGTGCTGCGCGCAGGCTTGTGGCTGCAACATAACGACCCCTAGATACGCGCTGCGAGCTTATTGAAATGCAACTTGGAAGCAAATTGCAGCGCATATCTAGGGTAGTTATGTTGCAGCCACAAGCCTGCACGCAGCACTTTAGATTTCGAATCCTTCGCAGGACGAGGTCGTTTCCTGGACGGACGAGTGTCAGAACCCTCCCAAGTGCAATAAAACCCGTTTCGGGAATAGCCTCTAAAGAGAGAGGCGGAGCGAACCTGATTGAGGCCACGGCAAGGCCGGGCAGGCTTGCGACCGACAACACTGCGGGCAGCGGCATTACCCCCATGGCAAGTGGCTGAGGACAACATGACATGTCAAGTCAAACCAAGCACAACACAAGGCAACATTCAAGCACACCTATGGGGCCACAAAATTAGTAACTGACACGAGCACAACGGTGCGGGACTCAACGACTCACACGAACTGGAAAACGAGTCAAGTCAACCCAACGCAGCCAATTATAACCAAACATCTAAAACATTAATATACCAACATAATAATATCAAAAAAAGTTATTAATATTGAGAGCATTTAATTAACAACAACAATTATCATATATTCTATTGATTTTTTGTTTTATATAATGTTTTTATGTAAATTTTTGAACCCTTTAAACACAACACGCGTACAGGGGGAGAGGGTTTCCCAACGACAGGGGCCAAGTTGAGAAACCAAACATTGCAAAGTGCGCCCAACTCAAACATACAAGGCTCAAGCCACTTTGCAAGGTGGATTCTTTCCCTTATAAATGCCAAGCGCTTTTCCATCATGGGGAGTGACCATCATCAGGTGCCTCAGGCACTTGACGCTTTGCCACCTCCACCCCACTTCCATCACTCACCAAATTGTCAAGTGGTTGCAACGGAGTACCACCAAGCGGGCAAGAACCCGTGTCACGTTCCGCACCAAGCTTCGCAATTAGGCCATTGAGACATCCTCGAGACGGCTCAGCTGCTGGATTAGATTTAGAAGGAACACGGGTGTACCAAGACCA